AATCATCAAACAACACAAATGTTTCAACTAATGCAAAAGCCATTAAAGAGTATTAAATAAACTATCTGTTTCATCAGGTTTCTAGCAACCTTAACATATAAACTAGAAAATAAATAGCAGTACCTACCGCAGCCCTCTACGTTGTCATTACACCTGCAATTACTAAGCATTTTAAGGCAGCAGATAAGATTAACATTATTATATTAACAATACTAGTAATTTAATCTAACGCTAGTCCCCTAATATAATAAAATTTAGAAAACAAATAAATATATAATATTATAAAAACCTAATAAAGTTAAACTAATATAAATAATCAAATATAACTCCTTCACTTAATATACTAGTTGCATAATACTTTATTATTATGACAAAACTTAATAATAACATTAATAAAAAATAATTAAAATAAAAATATCCTGGTACCACCGTGTAAAAAAATACTGGAAACCATTAAATTATATTCTAAAAATATTATAAGCTTTATTTGTTATTAGTTATTTTCCGTGTAATCAGTTAATAATCTTCTAGTATCTTTTAAACCAAAAAACTTAATCAAATTAATTCTTTAAATTCCCTTCTAATCAATATAAAGATAAATATAAATAACACAACTAAAAAATAATTTCTTATTTTTTAAAAACTATAAATCTTTATTTACTATTCTAGTATACAAAAAATAAAACATGTAATATTTTATAAAATTTTAAATATTAAGTCTAACACAAATAAATTATTAATTGATTTAATTTTTGTATATAATTTATAAATATTATTATAGACATGATTACTATAATAATGTTGAGTTTTCCTTCACAGAACTCGTATATAAATTTATATTATTTATTATTTTTAAACAATTAAATACTCCCTACTTATGCCAATATATCACACTTTTTACTATTTTTTTTTTTTTAACTTAAATAACTGAAATTCTTTCGAATATCTATTTTATTAAAATTTTTTGTAAAACTTATCTTACTTAACATATAAATAATATAAAATTTAAAACTTATTTTATTAAAATTAAAAACATCATCTATAAATCTTTGTTAATAAATCATGCTTCACTTTTAATGTTACTGGAGGTGAACCATATAATAATCAATCCAATTCTCTACTAATCCCAGTACCACACCAAAAAAATAAAAAAAAAAATCATAATATACAAAAAAATATCAAAATTACACCATACTATACGTAATTTCCCATTCTAATAAAAAACTTAATCAAATAAAGGAAAAACCCTAAATTTAATATCTAATTCAAAATATAATGTACAACTTTATTTAGCTGTCCACCTAAAAATAATAAATTTCTAGAATAATATCTTTTTGAACTTGATCTACTAATAAAACAATAAACTAGAATATACCCCATGTAATAGTATAAATATATTAAATATCTATAAGATGAATAAGACAAAAAAAATAAAAAAAAACATCAATAAATTCATTTCTTGAATAGTAGCAAAAGCAATTAACGTTTTATATCGGTAGAACTTCACATTCTTATAGAAGAATCAATATACCTCAAACTACTATAGATAAGGTAATATTGTAAAAATCTTCAATTTTAAAAATTATAACATAAACATTAAACAAAATAAAGCCGTCTTTACTAAATAACCACTTAAAAATATTGAAAACAACCTGTTGGTGCTTTCTACGTGAACCTTAGTTAGTCAATAATAAAAAGGTCAATTGGTATTTTTAACAACCGAATCCACAAAAAATCCCAAAATATATATATTTATATTGTTGTTGGAAAATTAAACCAGACTAACTCATTTATTTTTACTTAAATTACTTAAAGAATAAGTATAAGCTACAGTAAATAATACTATTAAAGAGCCTGTAAATGTTCAAAATAATAAATATATTACAGTTTTATCCACCTTGTTTTGCATATCCTAACGAATAAACAAAATAGAGAGACGGTACAAAAGTATATTCAAAATATAAAAATAAATCATAATAGATTCACTATAAACCATATTAAATGTAAATATTATAAAAAATATAAAAATATAAATATTAAAAATACTCGTAGTCAAAAAACGTTCAGATAAATATACCCAACTACTAATAAAGTATTTATACACAATAAAATTAATATATCTCCAGTCTCTAAAATTTGAATATAAGAATTAAGACTACATATTAAATTTGCATTCATATTATTAATATAAATCTAACTTATTATAGATATATATTTTAATAATATAGCAAATCACATTACTATCAAAATATTTCAAAAAAAATTAACTATAAATCTTTGTAATGAATATCCAATACCATAATTTTTGTCATATTAGATATGTAAATATAATGATAAAACCTAAATAAGAAAAAAATTTAATAAAATTAAAAATATATTAGATATTAATACTATATTATAATAGTCCAATAAATTAAATATAACAAATTTTGTAAACCAAGCATATGAAAAAATTATTTAAATAACCATAAATATAATTAAAATTATAACTAAAAAACCTATAAACATAAAACTAATAATAAATTTTTTATCAATACTTTTTAATAATAATTTATATAATTATAGTAATTTAAAATCTTAAAAATAACCTTCAACCTATATATTTTTCTGAAAATAATATATTATAATAGAAATAAAAAAAACGTAAAATTTTTATAGATATTTTTTTAATATAAAAATCTAATAAAAAACCAGACTTTACAAATTATATAATTTTTTAAATAAATAATGTAACACTTTAATTATTTAAAATAAGTTCTTATAAATATTCCGTATACTAAACTAAAATAAAAAATAAATAACAATCATCAATATCAACCAAATAAAAACCTATACCATATATAACATAAAAAATATAAAAAATAACAGCAATATTAATATATAAACTAACAAAAAAATAACCCTAGCATTTGTCTATTTCTTGAATATCTACCTTTATTAAAAATCTCATTTTTCTTAATAAGATAAATCAAACACTGCTTATAGCTGGACTTGAACCAACACCCCAAAGGATACGATTTTAAGTCGTACGCGGCTACCAATTTCGCCATTAAGCCTATTGTGTCTAGGAATCGAACCTAGCGCACCATGGGTGATGAGCCCTGGCTGGACCTCCGCACAATATTAACAAAGTACTACAGACTATAACTTTCTATGGTTTATTTTTTCAATATAATTGGAGTTCTTCTTATCTGCTTATTTTTTCAGTCATCCTTACTTTATTCTCTGTTGAATTTTATAATAATATTTACTAAAATATTTTTATTCAATATTAAAAAATTAATAATAATCTAATTGGAATCAGTTTATGCTACTTAGTATCCTATTTTATATATACTTAGATTTTAGGCATCCTTTTAATGCATTTTATAGCTATTACTTAGTTATGAAATAGATTGGATTCGAACCAACGACGGTTTCCCAACAGATTTACAGTCTGCCGCTTTAACCACTCAGCCACTATTTCTTTATTTATAAAATAGCTTATTTAGTATTTTAATATTTTTATCTCCAAAAATTACTTTTTGTTTAATAATTAAATATTTACTTTTTATTATAGTAATCTTCTATAATACTTATTAAAAAAAAAAAATATAAAGTTCCTATTCTAATAGTTACACTATAAGCTTAACAAAAAAACATACATAAATTATATGTAATTCTTTATAATTGGCTTTTTTGTCCTCGGTCCTCTCGTACTGAAGTAAAATATTTTTTTTTTTTATCTATACAGTAGATAGGGACCAAAACTGTCTCACGACGTTCTAACCCAGCTCACGTACCATTTTAACTCGGCGAACAGCCGAACCCTTGGCAGCGTATGCTCCACCAGGATATGATGAGCCGACATCGAGGTGCCAAACAATCTCTTCAATAAGAACTCTCAGAAATTATAAGCCTGTTATCCCTAGCGTACCTTTATTCGTTAATCGATTTTTTCTGCTATATAAAAAATCGGGTCAATATGACAGACTTTAATCCTTAATTTACTTGTTTGTAAATTAATCAGGTATAGCTATATCTTTCGACTTTCTCTAAAACTTATAAACTTTACCTTTATTCACCTCCGGTACTATTTAGGAGGTTGCCGCCCCAGCAAAACTATCTCTCAAACTTATAAAATTATTTTTTTAATTTTATAATACAATATAAAAATAGAGTAGTTTTTCAATTTTATTATATTACTACATCCCTATTTTAATAAATATATTATATAAAATTTGATAATAGTAAAGGTGCATAGGGTCTCTCTCCGTCTAGCTGTATTTAACGCATCTTCACGTCTAATTCAATTTCATAGAGATAATACTAGAGACAGTGGGCAGTCGTTACACCATTCGTGCAGGACGGAACTTACCCGTCAAGGGATTTTGCTACCTTAGGACCGTCAGGGTTACGGCCGCCGTTTACTGGGATTTATATGAAAACGTATAATTTTCACTTTTATCTTACAGCACCGGGCAGGTGTCAAACTTTATACATGATATTTCTACTTTGCAAAGTTTTATGTTTTTAATAAACAGTCGCCACCCCCTCTTTACTCAAACTCTAAAAGTTCTTTTTTCCCGAAGTTACAAAGATAATTTGCCGAGTTCCTTTAGTATTATTCTCTCTATTGTCTTTACTTACTCAGTTAATTGACCTGTGTTGGTATTTGTACGATTTAATAATTTATATTATTCAATAAATTATAATATAGTCTTTTTTCTAAAAATTTAATGTTTTTTTTAAATATTTAAAAAAAAACATTAAAATTTTGTTTAACTATAACACATTATTTTGATGTTAATCTAAAATAAAGTAATCGATTTTTTAACAATCAGTTTATCTTAATTGTTGAACCACGTCAATATTCGACATATTTTTTTCAAAAAAAAATAGTTTATTACTAATGTTAGCATAGTTATAATTATTTTTTCATTAAATTTTACAATTTAACTTTTTAAAAATAAATAATACTTCACTACCTATATATCTATATAATATGGTTTCAGTTTAAAGTTTTTGGCTATAATTTATAGATTTATTAATTAAATTATTTAAATTATTTTATTTAATATTTGAACTTTTACGCTTTCTTTAAAGGATGGCTGCTTCCAAGCCTACCTCTTTATTAATATTTTGATAAATCTTTAGTATTAACTTTAATTAGCCACTTTAACCAATATTCTGGGCTGTTTCCCTCTCACCTACACCTTAGCGCTATAAGTTTTTATAATATTATATTTAATTTAATTCATAAACTTAAAGAATACCGTGACGTACCCATTAAAATTTTACCTAAACTAATAAATAATATCATTTTACTTAAATAAATTTCGTGAAGAACCAGCAATAACTAAGCTTGATTAGCCTTTCACCCCTAATAACAAGTCATCCCAAAATTTTGCAACATTTACGGGTTCAGCCTATAGCTTGCTCATTATTAGATCGCTTAGTTTCGGGTCTATACCATAGAACTAAATTATTCTCACTACGCTTACGCTTGCTCTATAATATAACTCGCTAACCCATTATACAAAAGGTACAATAATACAATATATATTATTTGATTTTAGCATTAAAATTCAGTTTTCATGTTTTTTAAACCTTTAACCTTTCTCTCACGATACTTGTACACTATAAAATCTAAGCAATATAAGCAGTAATTTAACTATTATTCGGATAATCCTACTATGATTATTATAACACTATAATATACATATATATTATTGTAAAACTAAACTATTTATTTAATGTATAATATTAATTCACAGTTAAGTTAATTTAACTACTAATATATCAATTTTTTTATTTAATTTATTATAAAAACAATTAATTATAATTATTTCTATTAATTTTATTAGATATTAAATCAATTAGATATCTAATATATTCAATCTCATAAATTTATTCAAATACTAAATTACAAAAATATTGAATATAATCAATACTATAAATTATTTCAAATATTAAAAAAAAACTATACCGAACTAAATCAGATATAAGAACTGTTAAATTAAGTATACAAAAAAAACAAAATACTATAAATAAAGAAAAAAATAATGTAATAAGAATACAACGTAATTTCTCAATATTATATGATATATCATCTGTAGGTACTGGTTTTCTAAAATGCTTTACTATTTTTTAACCACACCATAAACTATAATTAATATTCCTACAAATACTACCTTCACATATGCCCATATACTATAAATGATTATATAAACCTTTCCCAACAATAAATTCAACAATTCTAAGTATTGTTGATGATGCAAATAAAATATAAATAATATTTAATACTCTATAAAAATTAATTAATGTAATAAAATTATAAAACATAATTAGAATAATTATTAAATAAATAATCGTACTACATAGGAATACATAATAATTTGTAAAAACATAACCTTATTATAAATCATATATTAGTTAAATTAATAATATATGTGTATATATATGAATAATTAAAAAAAAATTTTTACAATCATATAAAAATTTATTTCTATAAATATCATAGAAATCAGAAACAACATTATTCCGTTAAGTATAAAATAAAAAACAAAACAATAAAATTATAGAAAAAAAAAATGTAATAACAATACATTTTAAATTTCAATAAATGAATTATTTTCTGGATAAACCCCAACCTATCTAAAATTATAGAAATAAATAAAAAATTAATCATAATATAACAATAATTAACCATTTTATAATTTTTTTTTTTTTGAGTTCCTCTACGATTATACTTTTTATTAAAATCGGTGTGAAAAAATTGTTAAATTATTATTTTCCTGAATATAGTGATATAAGGTTTCAAAAATTAAATAAAATGTAATATTTTTATATATAGGTTTCATTAAATGTTTATCACTGGTTTAATTCGAAAATAAATAAAAAATAAATCTTTTAAAATTGTTAAGGTAAATATAATAATAGATAAAATCGATCTATATAATACGGTCCAACTATATACTCTATTATTCTCTGTATAAATGTTGCCATTAAAATAATTATTATAATGTTAGATATCTCATATATATCTATAAATTTATCCAATAATTTTATTAATAACTTTAATATATAAAAAAAAAATATTAAAGTAAAAACTATTTTTATAAAATATGTATTATAAGCAATTCTACAATTGTGGAAATAATTATAAAACTAACTCATAATAAAACTTCAAAATTGTAAAACATTTTAAATTTATTAACTAATAAAGATAATTTAAATATCTCTTAATCTTTCTATCACAATAATAATATACTATAAATCTAAATAATTTAGACAATAGTTTAACTTAGGATTAAATAATTCTACTAAATTTTTATTAAAATATAATTAAAAAAACTATATTTTTATAAAAATATTAAATTAATTTATAATAAAATTAATCTAGATATAAATAACAATAATTTTAAAAATACAATATCACTATATATAGAATAAAACATATATACAACTTTAAATTTACACTTTAAAGATGTAATTGTTAAATATGGTCAATAGTACATAATAAACGATACAAATAAAAAAATTACCAATAATAACGGTATTGAATCTATAATTCTATTATTATTAAAAATATAAAAAATAACTAAAGTATTAACTAGTAAAACTATCAATACTACATGAGTTATAATTATAAAATTTAAATAATAACTACATATTAAATATATTAATAATAATATAAAAAATATTATGTAAAACATACCTTTTTTAAAAATTTATATTCAATAAATATATAATATAGCTTAATAAAATTTAATTTATCAACTATAAAAAAAAGAAAATGAATGTATATAATAATTATATAATTTTTTCAAGTGAATGCTTTTATTTGGAAATTCTTTAGTGCTTTCAATTAAGGAAAGACAATATATAGTTTTAGAATAATCATAAATTTACTCTTTTTTAACATATTTTACCATATCTACTTTTACCTATAGTGTTTTTATAAGATAAGCCTAAAGCTAAAAAAAGATCTGATCTAAAGCTAATAAACTCTTTTATATTTTTTAATCTTCAACATGATATATTATATTTGCAAAATAATAAATGTTTTAGATTTCAGAAGAAAAACAACAATTGTAAACAATCTGTATTATTAATAAATAATAATAGCTAAAATTAAGGTAAAGTTTAAAATAAATAGAATTCTATAAATAGATAAATTAGTTAAATTATTAGACAGATATTTTATTTTTAAAATTTTACTAGAAATAAAATAATGACTGACTAAAATATGTTATAGTTATTACAAAGATTAAATTTAAAAAATAATATATTTATAAATGTTTTATAATATGATTTATAATAAATTTTATTAAATAACGAAATATAATACTCTACCAATTAAATATTAATAAATTTTTTTAAAAGCAATGCGAAATTTTTTAATTTTAAGATTTTAGAAGTTGGACCATACATCTCCTTTCCTAATGTATTCATACGTTTTTTTAACAAAACAATTGCGTTATT